TCCCCCCATTCGGAACCCGGGAAGGTGCCTCTCGGAGCCCTTTTGGGCCGCTCCTGGGGCGCTCTTGGGCGCTCTTCGGCCCGTCATGGGCCTCACGGGGGCCTGTCTTAGGGCTCTCTTGGGCCATCTTGGGGCCACCTTGAAGCCTCAAGAGCCCATTGAAAGCGAAAAGGCGAGAGGGGAAAGCGCATTGATTTGCCATCGGTTTTTGAAGGATTTGGGCCTCTCGGGGGCGCTCTTGGGAGGCTGTGTGGCCACTTGGGGCCGTCTTGGGGCGGTATTGGAGCCTCGTGTAGATTTATTGGGAGCTATCTTGAGTCATCGAGGGCTATCTTGAGCGATCTTGGAGGTCATCTTGAGTTTACTTGTGCTGTCTTGGCGGCATCTTAGGCCAATACAGACGCTCCAACGACCCGCGCCTCCCCCCCCAAGGCTTAGGGGGAGGGGGGGGTCAAGCTACCCACCCGCCCGCAAGCCGTCTAGCTCACTCCCACCCGCCCTCCCAACACATAAGTATCACCCGAGCCTGAGCATGTTCAGCGGTCGTTTTTGGATGGAGAGCTACTGGGAACCAAAGCCGACCCCGGGTGCGCGACGCTTGGGCGCGGTGCGCCACGCGTGCCAGGGGCGCCACGCGCGCCAGGCACTCCGGGGCCCAAGCGTGCCAGGCACGCCTGGTGCGCCAGATGCGCCACGTGCTCCGAGTGCGCAGGTTTGCCGTTCGGGCACGTGCAGAGTGCGTCAGGTGCGCCTGCGCACGTGACAGCACACATCGGGAAACATGTCGGGCCCGCCATCCTTGTCGAAAACCAATGCCCATCATTGTGTCTGGAGGGCCTGCGCACAGCAGGCCACGCGCCACCACCCCCGCCGTCCCTGTCAACAACCACTTGACAGTGATTGCGGGATGGCCGCGACTGATCCAGTTTTAGCCGCGAGGAGCATGTTGTATTTTTTTAGGGGGTGGTAACCCTGCGCCCAGCAGGGAATATGCTGCCACCCCCCCCGTCCCTGTCAAAAACAATACGAAGTGTTCGCGGGCGTCATCAACATGACTCGAACCTTTCCCCACAAGTGTACTTTGCATTGTTGTTTGGCAGGAGTGGCGGGGGGGCCGCATCGGGTTGGCCGCGCATGCTTCAAATGTGGAGGCTAAGTGCGGTTTGTATTGTTTGTTTTCTGACAGGGATGGTGGGGGGCGGGCCCTCATGGAGTCGGCTGGTTCCGGGTTGGACGCCGGCCGGGTGGGGGAGGGGTTGTGAACAGTGATAAACCCCTCCCAGAAGGGGAAGAAGGGGGTTGGACAGGGGGGGCTCTCTAAACTACTCGCGCACAGATGGCTGGTGAGACTTGCCAGTCCTCGAATATAGCCTGGCAGCGCGCTCACGGCACGACCCAGGCCGCAAGGGCCGCCGTCCCCTCCCCCCATCGTGGCCGAAACGCAATCCATATCCGCGGCATCCAGGGCCGGGCCCCTGGGCCGCGACCTCGCGGACACGGGGCGGCTTTTCGCGAATGCCCGGCGCGGAGCGTTCTCTCTTCGACCGCGGGTCCGCGGGATCGCGCCGCAGAATCCAGACCGCGAGGGCGCGGGTATACGGACCCAGGCGTGCGACGTCCTGATGTTTTCAGGACGACGTCCCTGGAAGTCCTGGCCCTTTCCCCAGGACCGGCTTTTCGTTCTGAGTCGTTTTTTGACGGTCCCGAGGCCCGGCGAGGGCCCCCCAGGGCCGAAAGTAGCCAAAAGTTGTCCGTCTTGATTTAACGATGCGATCATGTCTGGGGATCTGTCCGCTGCTTGTGGTCCATCGTCCACGCGGCAACCTTGGGACCGTTGCCACGCAGCAGGCCGACTCGGCGCGTTGGCCAACAGCTCCACGGACTCACGCATTAGGCGGGCCCCTCCCCTCCTTCTCCTCCTCCTCCTCCTCCTCCTCCTCCTCCTCCGCCGCCTCCTCCGCCTCCTCCGCCTCCGCCTCCGCCTCCTCCTGACTGACTGACTCATGGCATTTGAGGTCGAAGATCGCTGCCACCAATCCTGCCTCCCCCGCACGGCTAAGCCCAGCACGGTGGAGGGGGCTAAATCGAAACAGTGCTCTCTTATCTTCATGGCGGTGGGGGAAAGTAGGGAAAGCGCCTCTTCCTCCGCCCTCCTGCACATAAAGGGGCAAAGGGTGGAAGGGAACGTGGGAAAGCAGAAAGCAAGCGGGGCGCTCCGGCCCAGAGGCCATCGTGGCACTTCCTGACAGATCAATCTCCTTCGTCGCCCCCCTCCTCTCCCGCCCCCCCCCCTCCCCGTGACAGCTGGACGATGAGGAGAAGTAGCGGTGAGACATTCTGCGGGATGCCTCCTCCGATGAAAGGAACGGGACGCAGAACGGAAACAGGCGTGATGTGTGAAGAAGGAGAGAGACAGGAAGTAAGGCGAGGTGGATGGGAAGGGAAGTTGAAAAGGGACTGCCGGTGTCAACAGCCTGGATCGGCAAGGATCAGCCGGCAGCAAAAGGTGCCTAAGGTGTGGAGCAGCGGCGGAGAGGCAGGTGGCGCCGCCGCTTGTCGCTCTATGTGGCCCTGGCGCTAACGAGTCGGCACTCGACCTCGTGCCCGAGGCGGCTGAAGGGGTCATTCTGTGGCTGATGCGGGGATGTCTAGAGGGGCCTTGAAATTGGGTTTCTTTTCCGTTTAGAGGCAACTTAGCGGCAACTAGTGGCAGCCCGCGGGCCTTCGAGCCAATTCGGTTGTTCCGCGGCAACTGACATGCAACTTAGCGACCCCTCGCCCTGGAAGGGCTCGGTCATGGGGGGGGTGAGCCGGGCAAGCGCGCAGTGAGACGCGTCAGGCGACAGCGCCGATCGTCGGCGGGCCGTTGGTCGGGTGAAACGTCCGTCCGTGCGGTTGAATTGCTGCGTGCGTTGGCCGCACGCCGCAGCACTCCCCCGTAGGGGCAGCTGGGTTGTATATGTTGTGTTGAAATTACACGCACGAAGTTCCTCGTGCGAGAGGAGACATGATGCATCCTGCGAGGTTGAGGGCAGGGAAAGTGGTGCCACGGGCCGCAGAGGCACCTGCGATACTCGCCCTAGTCTGGGGTTTGGCGGTTCACCCCAGTAACCTCCCGCTTTCCCCAGAACAATGCGGCCGAGGAATGAACTCATTGTTTGGTGCCCACAGCGTGCTTTTTGTTCCCGTCTTGTCGGGTTCAGCACGCAAGCCCTTCAGAAGCTGAGGTGCAGGGCACTGGCGAGTAGCAGGGGAAGGTGAAGGAGGCGAATGCGCCTGGGGCGTAACAGCAGAGGATGGGGCACGATAGTGGTGAACGCGGGTGGACAGAGGGAGAGCACTCTCCCTAAGAGTAGAACGATTGTGGCGGTGGCGCTGTCGCCGCACGCTGCAAGCGCCCCCAACCTGCCTAATGATACTCCAACCCCATCCCTCCCCGAACCACAAGAGCAAAAAGGAGAAGGACGAGGAAGGGAGGAAGGGGTAGGTTGGGAGAGGGCCTTTCACGGGTGGTCCCTTGGGAGGTCGAATCGGACTTTGCGCTTCGAGCGCTCTGGGCCCGTCCTCCCTCGGAGCGGTGGCTCACGTGGCCCCATCGCTTGACCTCGGCGGTGCTCCACTGACGGCCCTGCGGGCTCGAGCTCGGTGGTCTGGCCCAGCGTCGTCGCCTTCTTGGGGTTCCGATTTCCGGAGCTGGTCCAGCTGTGGTGAGCGGAGCGGGGTTCTCGGCGACATAGCCCGAAGGGCTAGGTGGGGGGGGGGGGCCTTTCATTGTTGGCCTGAGGCCGGGTCCTCTCCGGGATGGAGCGCCCACGGGGGCTCGGTCCAGTGACCGTCCAGGCGGTTCATCTCGAAGGTGTTCTTGGCGTGGCCGAAGTGCGAGCTAGCCTGGTAGAGCATATCGGCAGATGGGATGTACGGCGGTAGCAGAAGGCCCCCTGAAGCCGGAGCGCGGACGCCATCTGAGTTGCCGAGATGAGCGGGGACGAAAACAGGCGCTTCTGGTCTGAGCGTGCCCACGCTGCCAGTACTGTCTGACCCGTACTTCTCGGCGTAGGGCTGCGACCTGTAGGGCGGGGTCTTGGGCTGCCACCCCCTGCCGCCCGAGGGTGAAGGCCAACAGTGGCGAATATCCCTGGTAGACCTGGCGTTCCTTTGGGAAGAGATGCTTATGAGATCGTCCGCGGCGATGCGCCCTCGACGGGCTGCGTATGCCAGACTGCGGTATGCCTTCATGTAAGAATGAGCCTCGAGCTGTGGAGGCCTAGGCCCATATGGGCCCGTAGAAATCTCGTTGCCGATGTTGTTGGAGTCCTGACAGGCGGGGGGGGGGGAGGGGCGCTGGTAGTGCCTCGCGGGCGCCATGTGTGCCGCGCTTGGCGTGGCCCCGGTTACCGACCTGTTCGGCGAATGGGGGGGATCCTGCGGCCCGATGCGCCCTCTGCCGCCGACCTTCTGCTCCTCGACCCGCCCCTTCGCCCTCTCCTGCCCCCCACCGAGCTCCGCCCGCGCCCCACGAGCCTCCGGCCCTCCTCGGATCTGGCCGCGCCTCCTTGCAGTTGACGCCCTGGGCCTGGAGGAGGAGGAGGAGGAGGAGGAGGAGGAGGAGGAGGAGGAGGAGGAGGAGGAGAAGGAGGAGGAGGAGGAGCGCCTGAATGGAGTCCGACGTCGTGAAGTCCCTGGCGCGCTTCGCCTGGACCCACTCGTCGAGCCTCGCCTCCGCGGCGGCATCGTGGCCGCTCGTCGTGCTGCCGAGTCGAGGGCCGATTGCCGCGGGACGCCTCGGACGGCCGCCGAGAGGAGCGGCCGAACTCAACTCGCTGACATGTTTGGGCCGGAGCGGCTTGAGCCAAAATGGCTACGGACTCCTCCTCCTCCTCCTCCTCCTCCTCCTCCTCCGCCTCCGCCTCCTCCTCCTCCTTCCCCTCCTCCCCCCCAGCCGCGGCCGTGCGCCAGGCGCCCGCCGGCGCAAGGAAGGGGGGGCGCGCCTCCGGCCGGAGGCGCGGCGCGACCTCGTGCTCGGCGCGGCCGCCGGGGGCGCGGTCGTCCTCGTGAGGCCACCTCCGCGCGCCGCCTCTCTGCGAGGTCGAGGCTTCGAAGAGTTCCTCCCCCTCCTCCTCCTCCGCCTCCTCCTCCTCGGCCTCCTCCTTCTCCTCCTCCTCCTCCTCCTCCTCCTCCTCCTCCTCCTCCCTCCTCCTCCTCCTCCTCCTCCTCCTCCTCCTCCTCCTCCTCCTCCTCCTCCTCCTCCTCCTCCTCCTCCGCCTCCCTCCTCGTATTGGGGCACCTGTGCCCGTGCCTCTCGTGGTGGTGCTGTCGGAGGCGGATGTGGCGTCCACAATCTCATCAGTGCTCTCCGAGCTCCGCGCTGCCTGCCCAATGGCCAGCGCCCGCTCCCTGCTCGGTCGGCGCTTGCGTCGGCCGACCCCGACGCCACGGGTGCGGAGCTCGCCCCCGACGGCCTGCGCAGGGAGAGGTATACCGACATCGCTGCTATAGTCCTGGTGGGCCCTCGTCGCCACGCACTTCAGAACGCACCTCGGGAGAGGTCCGTGGGAGAGCGGTCGCGGTAATTACCTTTTTGTTTGCCCAAGGGTGGGGCCCTGAGAGATGGGGCTCTGCGGATGCCTGAGGATAGGAGGTTTTTTTTTCAGGCTGAGCTTGCACTGCTCGTGGCCTCCTCTCCCCGTGGGCCCCAGCTCGAGGAGGGGGCTGGCCCAGACTTTGGGCGGATCTGCTCCGTTCCATCCGGGCGGTTGTCCTTTACTTGAGTCAGAAAGGAAGGGGCCCCGGTTGAAAAACTCGTCAGGGATCAACCGTCGAGAACTCCGGGGCAGCGGGCTGAGAAGTCACATCTTCGGCTGTGTGGGGGGAAAAAGGCAAGATCATCACAGGGCGTTTCCGGACAGGGCCTCGCCCTGGAGGCATCGAGGAGCCGAGGGCTCTTGCTCGGCGGGAGGAGGCGGAACGGAACAGCCCGCGCACCCCTCCCCGCGACCCTGGACACCCCTCACACAGCTCCACCTACTGCCCCTCGGTGGTTGGCCGCATGGCGCCCCATGAATTTCGGCGCACTTCTCACGCACCTCGTGCGCCCATGTAGGGAGCTCCACCGGGATGGGCATAGTGGGGATGGGCAGCACGCTGCTCGACGTCAATGCCGGTGCGCCCCACGCGGCTCCTGCCCCAAGGAGAAGTTCCACCTGCGACCCCCAGGGGGGTGGGTCGCATACCGCCCCACGCCCACTTCGGTGCAGTCGGGGCCCTGAAGGAGGAACCCTTTTCGTTGGGGAGGGGCTCCGTGCTCCTTGATTGTTTCGCAGGTTGCCTTAGATTTTCCTTAGGGTTTCGATACGAAATCGAAGTGTAACTCATGGAAAATAAGGGCCTCGTTCCTTAGTTGGGGTTCCTTATATCAACGCCTCGACTGTACCTCCCCACACGTTTCGTGACCCCCCCCCATAGGGAGCCCCACCTACGGCCCCACTGGGCGCGCGCAGAACACCGCCGCACGCCCAGCTCCACCCACGGCCCCAGTGGGGGTTGGGCCGCATGCCACCCCCTGCCTAAATCGGCACACCACTCGCGCGTGTCCTGCCCCCGGGATGGAGCTCCCCGTGCAACCCCAGTGAGGGAAAGTCCCACGAAGTCGAGTATTGTCAGAGCCCCGAATCATCAGGGATAACTCGGGTCAGGGTTAATTCGGGTTCGTGTTTCGGGAATCTAAACCCGAGTTACCCTGGACCCGAGTTACCCCGGATAACTCGGGCGTCCAGAGCCCCACATCATCAGGGGTAATTCGCGTCAGGGCTAACTCGGGTTCTTTTCCGGGAATCCAAACCCGAGTTACCCCGGACCCGAGTTACCCCGGATAACTCGGGCGCCCAATATTGGGGTCGCCACACCTCTTGTTGATCGAATAGCGAAAAACTGCGGGTCAACCAGCGTGGGCCCAATCAGTAAGTGATTGCATTGTCAGTGTGTAAGACATGTGGTGCAACAAAGTTGTGCAAGCTATGTGGTGAAATCTGCGTGGTGCAGCATGCGTGGTGCACGGTATGGTGCACACTGTCCGCGGTGCAGTCTACATGGTGTAAGCTACGTGTTGCAAGCTATGTGGTGTAAGCAATGTGGGGCAAGCAATGTGGTTCAATATTTGTGGTCTTGGCATCGTTTGGACGTGATTATTTTTCGGCGAGGCCAGCACCCAGCAAATTAAACCATTGAGGGGCAGTTTGGATCATCTTGCGGGAACCAGCGCACGAAACCGAACAATGCACTGGTCGGCGGTCCCAAAACGGGGTGGTGACCACACCGTGCGGTGAGTCGGTGGGGATTCGGGGTCTTGGGCGACAGGGGCCTCCGGGGACCCAAGACCGTGCGGTGACGGACCGTGCGGTGAGGTTTTGGGGGATTTCGAGGTCACCGCACGGTCCGTCACCGCACCGTTTCGGGACTCCAAAGCTGGGAATGGACGTCCGAGCGATGTGCAATATTCGCAGTGCAAGCTATGTGGTGCAAGCTATGCTGTGCACGCCAGGTTGTGCATTATACTGGAGCAATATACGTATTCCAACCCATATGGTGCATGATATGCGGTGCACGCTGTGTGGGGCACGCTGTGTGGTGTGCAGGCTATGCGGTGCAAGATACGTGGTGCAGGCTATGCAGTGTAAGCCATGTGGTGCAGGCTATGCGGTGCAAGCGGCGTGGCTCACGCTGTGCTGTGCACTCTGCGTGGTGCAGGCTGCGCAGTGCAGTCCTAGGTGGCGCAAGCAGTCGAGGCGCCCACGAGGCGTCCACGAGGCGAGCACCAGGCGGCTCCTCGGCACACACACCCCGGCGCGGGGCGCCAGCAGGCTAAGCTTCAGCACCCCCACCAGCGCGGGGCGCCTATGAGGCACCCACGGGCGGGCACGAGGCGGATCTGCACGAACGAGGTGGGCACGGAAAGATCGAATGGGTACAATGCTCAACAGCAGTTCCTGTTCATTTTGAACAGGACTCGCTGTCCGCGCCGCCGCGGCCTGTGTCCACTTGGAGACAGAAGGCCCCCTGCCCAACAGCGGCCGCTGTTGGTTTGGGACAACATTTGTTCTTGGGCATTGTACCCAATTTTTCCGCACCCATTTCGGGCGTCCAGAGCGGAAGCTCGGCATGCTCGACAGCGGAAGAGCGGGCACTGGCCGAAAGCCCGGGGAATGTCCAACCAACTGTCCAAGAACGACGAATCGAATCGTAGCCCGGAGTTCTGCTTGCGGAGTGCACGTTGGGCTCGTGGAGGTCCGTGCGGCCTTCTCAGGTCGGCGCCCGCGCCCCTCCAGCGCCGCCCCCGGGCGCGCTCCGACCGGCCGGAGAGGGGGAGGGCCAGCGCCGAGCCAGGGAGTCCGAGCAGACCTCCGAGCGCCAGTGCTAACGCAGGGCCAGGATCGGGATAAGTCGCTCCAGAGCGTTCCGGAGCGCTCTCAGAGCGTTCCGGAAGGCTCTGGAGCGGCCGCGGCGCCCAATACATCCTCGAAACCAGCCGATTCTCAGAGATTTCGAGTTATCCCGATCCGATTTTGTCCCGATCTTCGCGTTGTTTTAAGTGCTGTAATCCGGTGTTGTTGCTCTTTTTGGTTGCATCCTGGGCAAACGATGCTCGGGGTCGTTGGGACCTCGTAGGCAGTGGGCGGGCTGGAGCCCAGAGCACCGCGGCAGCTACGTGTGTCGGTCCCAGGGCTCCAAGATCTGTTCGAAGCGGATGTTGGTCCCGATGAGATCCTCCTTCTCTGTCCTCTTTGGTGTCCATCTCGGGCATGCGCAGCTGGATCTTCTTCAGGGGAGATCCGAGATACCTATATTGCAGTTCAGTTCTGGAGGCATTCGTTCAGAGGCCTATTATACGGAGCTCTTTGAGTTTAGACTGCTTGTATTCAGGCGCTCCAGAGAGCCGCCCAGGCAAGGACGGTTTCCACGGACCTCGGCTCGTCTCGTTCGCTGCAGATGCGCGCGCCTCGAGTGCGATGCTTGCCCCTCCTCCTCCTCCTCCTCCTGCTCCTCCTCCTCTCCCTCCTCCCCCGTCCGAGCCACTGAATCCAGATCCAGATCATGTTGTGTTTCGCACGTAACGCCACGGCCCCCTCCGCTGCCTGCTGCTTCCGTCTCCCTTCATCCTCCTCCCCCCGCGGCTGTTGCTGCTGCCTGCTCTCGCCCTTCTCCTGGCCGCGGTGTCCTGTGTCGTCCCGCCCGTCGTTCCCCTCCGTTCTCTCGTCGTGTCGCTGCTGGGCCGTAGCCTAAGGTTGAATTGTGGGAGAAGTTCGACCCTCTTCCACTGCGAGCCTGCCGCTGGGAGGATGGTGCTCATGCAGGCTGTCATGGGCTCTCTCCCCAATTAAGACGGTCCTGCTTCGGGCCAGTGGTTTCCCCCCAGCGAGGCTGCAGGCTCTAGCCCCGCGCTGTCCGCAGATGCTCCTACAGATCCACTGCTTGTCTTGCAATGTCTTGGATTCCCGGCGTCATCCATCAGGGTCGCAAGCGTTCCAGGCCAGTCCAGTCCTCCTCCTCCTTCTCCTTCTCCTCGAGCGCCCCCCCTCGAGCGCCGCCCCCCCCATTGAGCGCGGCAAGGCGCGACGACGCGCGCCGCCTCGTCCTGGTGCCGCGGCACTCGGGGCAGCCTGGCGGGCAGCTCAGGCGCAGAGAAGCGCCTTGCGCGCGTGGGCACGGACGGCACGCGCTGCCCGAGGAGGAGGAGGAGGTGGAGGAGGAGGGGGAGGAGGAGGAGGAGGAGGAGAAGGAGGAGGAGGAGGAGGAGGAGGAGGAGGAGGAGGAAGTGCAGCAGGTGCAGGAGGAGGAGGAGGAGGAGGAGGAGGAGGAGCGGATGACTCTTGGAAGGCCTTTGGAGGTCTCTTAGGGCGTCTTGGAGGCATCTTGGCGGGGACAGTCTTTGAGTGTCTTTGATGCCTCGGGGATCCTCTTGAGGCCTCTTGGGGGTCTCTTGGGAGTCTTTTGGAGGCCCCCTGGGCGCCTCTTGTAGCCGTCTGGGCGCCTCTTGGTGCCCTCTTTGGGCGCTCACTGGAGCTTCGCCGGCGCTCTTGGAGCCATCTTGGAAGACATCGATTAAAAAAGAGGGGTGCTTTGATTCGCCCCCCCCACCCCACCCCACCCCACCCCACCCCACCCCTCGGGAATCGCCTGTTGGGGCGCTCTGTAGGCGCTCTTGGAGCGCTCTTGGGCGCTGCTGGGGCCGTCTTGGAGGCCTCTTGGGCCCCTCTTGGAACCCTCTTGGGTCATCTTGGCGCCACCCTGAGTCCTCGGAAGGCCATCGGAAGCGAAAAGGCAAGAAAGCAAAACAAATGGATTGTATTCAGCGGATTCTTGGCGGCCTCTTGGATAGGTTCCGTGGCCACCTGGAGCCGTCTTGGAGTTTTCTTGGGGCCTCTTGGAACATCTTGGGAGCCATCTTGAGCGATCTTGCGCGATCTTGAACCATCATGGAGGCCATCTCTTGAACTATCATGGGGCCATCTTGGGCTCTCTGAGGCGCTCTTAGAGCCGTCTTGGGTCATCTTGGACGCTCCAATGCCTCGAGACCCCTCCCGTCCAAGTCCAGGGGCTTCCCCTCCCCAGGGGGAAGAAGGGTGTTGCAGGAGAAAGCTTCCCGGACCACCTACGCCCAGAGGGCTTGTGGGATTCTCGGCCTCCGGGGGCCCTCGCCAGAACCGTCAAAGAACGGCTCGGGCAAAAGTCCAGCATCGGGGGTTCCACGTTGTGATCAGCTCAAGACGTACATCGCGGCCCGGGCCCATCGGGAGCCCCTGGGGTCACCCCCAGGACACCACCAGGGGCGCGGAGAGGATCGCGCACAGCGCGTCGCGGCCCAGGCTCTCGAGCCTCCCCTTTGCAGAGGTGGGCCGCCCCTGGGGCCGCCCCTGGGGCCTGGGACCGGCATAGAACTACTCAGGATGACGAGCTGGCCCCATGCAAAGGAAGCTCCCGGGCCCCTCACTTCCTCCTCCTCCTCCTCCTGCTGCTGCGCTCGCACCGAAAGAGGCGATCCTCGTAGCGTCCGCGGCCCGCGCTGCGGGCCTAATCATGCATCCGCGACGGGGTCGAAATGGCCACCTGATCCTCCCATATCCTCCTCCTCACACTCCTTCAAAAAGAACGAAGGGCGCCTTCGACCCCATCACGACGACGTCGAGCCCCCCAGGTGGGGACCCACCCTGGGGGGCTCACCACGCCGGCCTCCTCAGAGGCCCCAGAAGGCCTCCACGGCCTGCGTCGGCGTCGCCCAGTCGTCGCCCTTGCCGTCCAGCGTCGGGCGCCCCGACTCAGCCGTCTAGCCCAGGGGGTTGTTACTTTGTGGGCTGAATCCACCCCCCCTGGGCCACGGCCCGCACCCTCACCAGGAAGTAGCCCTCATACGTATTCCCCATTCACCATCCACCATACATCATGCCAATATTCGAACTCAAGGTTTTGGCCTCCAACTCCGACCATGATATCCTTCTCCACGTACTCGTCACTTATACCAGTGGGAATCCTGGCCATGTCCGTCGTAATACACATTGGCACTCGGGCCTTCCCACACGCATGGTATATAATCATCAGGGCCCTAAATACAGTATTTGCCCTTATCTGCTTCGCCAACGATTTCCCACGGATATCCGTACCACCCCACAGTCGCATACCAAAATACCCATATGCCTTTCCAACAACACCAAATATCTTCCGCCTGCATATATCCTTCACCACTGTGTGACACATACCTTCAGTAGCAATTGCGTCCATCTCTGTTGTCCTTATATCCATCATTTTGACCTGGAATAGTACGACCTCCTTAAAGCTATCCAACCACTCCGTAGATTCACTCTCGGGGTCATATATCAAAAGTATCTGCGACTGCCTGTCCACACACTGGTATGTAGGACTTTCTTCATTGCAAGTGGATGGGGCCTCATCGATCAAAACTTGTGGTATTGACACTCTCATCTCCTCCTTCGAACTCGAATTCCTACAATACCTCGGTCCCTTAGTAGGTGGTCTCAATGCTTTTGATTCAGAATATCCCATACTTTTGAGCATCGCAGTTTCTTTCATATCCTTCTCGTCCATTTCTGTCAAAACTTCATCAGCCATCGGTTCCACCATACCCCCTCAATATGTCAATGCATTTGGTATGACGATACTTCAAGTGATATATCAACCTTTTCCTCGTGTGAAAATTCACATCACATGCAGCACAATACCCATCGTATGCATATCGAGGTATGTCATCATTTTTGCCATGCACCTTGGTGCGATGACACTGCCACGCACACGCAGTCTCAAACGTGGCACCGCACTCATAACAAATGAAAACCAACCTCTGACCCATCTCATTCTCCTGTGGGACGATACCTCTGATTTTTTGCTGCCATACCTCATGCTGACAATAATCGACATGCCATTGCATAAACCGTTTCCATGCCATTGTACATATCGCCAAGTATTTCTTGGGTGCCTGCCGCATGAGCTCGATCCACTGTCGCATCTCCATAGGCGTGTCACCTGCATTCCTCCATTTTTGCAGCCATGCAAAGTCATTTTCCAACATACTCAGCCACGTGCCTTCAGTCCCAAGAATATCCACCAACCTCCGTAGGGTAGCCGGTGCATGATTCACCACCCTCTCAAGATATCTCAACCTCCTCATACACTTAATCGTATTGTAGTCCGCCCGCTTTGCTTTCCATAGTACATACTCATCGAGGTAGTGATCAACAGTACCTGCATTATGCATAAGTCCCGTTGCCATCCTCAATCCCCTCATATACGCAGCTCTCAACCTTGACTCATTTCCTTCCCCCAGCTCATGCCATATTTCCACCTGTTGAAATAGACGCGAAAAGGCCAGCGCCTCGACATACCTGACCTTGAACTCATCCTTTATATTTTTCCGTGGTATAATGCCCCGCCTTATTGGTCCCATCGCCTGTTCACAGCTTTGAATACGTCGTGTAATCTCTGGTCGCCACGAGCAATCAAAAGATACCACCACCCCCATATGTTTGTAATGCCTTTCGATATGAAACGTGAAGCCATATTTGTCACTCGTCACGGATACTTCTCCTCCATACAGCGCTTCGCGCAACGATTCCCGATTTGGTCCTCGGAGCTGGAACAGCGCCCCCGTCTTCCCTCTACCGTAGTTCGGCTCCATAAAATGCGCAACAAACGATGCATGCATGATACCCATCGCGTCCTTCACACTTTGAATTATACAGTCATTCTCCTGCACTATGGGGATCAGCACATCGTCAACGAAGGTAATGTCCACCAATGGATTCATATCGTCACCCGACTTGCTTACCATATCACAATCAGGTTGATACCTCCCCAGGTCCAGTACAGATTTGCTGCCTGCAAGCTCCTATGCACTAGACCCAGCGGCTTGGTGAAGACAATGTTGAAAAGGTAGTCTGCCGTAGCACACCCAGGCCTCGTCCCCCTTGTTGGCATACCCATCTTCGTAGAACCCCCCACTTCAAAGCATACCAAGCGTTGTGATTCAGCAACCAGCGTAGCAATGTGGGGGTCCACACGTTGGTCGTCCAGCAAGGCTGGTTGTGACAAGATGTGGCTGGCCAGCGGTACCAAACATATTGGTATATCACATTCATTCAAGATCGCTTCTGGTTCATCCTCCAAATACTGCATACGGCTAGCCATCTGACGTATAATGCGATGGAACGCCGCCTTGAGATCTAAAAATATACATGCCGCTGATACCTGATTTTTTGCCGCCAACTGGGTGATCATACGAGCCTGCTGTGATGCCATCACCGGTGACCTCCTCGGTCTGCCACCAATTTGCGAGTCCCTCAACATGAAGTCCAAAGTGTATGCAAGCTGCCTCCTTAAAAACCGATAGTGATGTTTGCCAAACACGTTGCAGATCGTTACTGCCCTGAATGCTTTGTTCGTCGACGGATCCCCTGCACTCTTGGATACCTCCCCCAATCTGCTGTGCTTGAATGCGATGGGCTCCTTCCCCGTTGCACATACTTTCACCAACAGTGGGTTGACCAACTTGGCGATCTGTTTGGGCGCTGCATGCAATATCTCTTCCAACAAGCCATCAGTACCCGCAGCTCGCCTTCTTGGTCCCCTCGATAGTCGATACTCTGTATCCGCCAGATGAGGAAGCATCTCAATGTTCAACTGAACATCCCCAAGTGCAGTACTCGGAAACTTCCCATACGCGTCTACATATTCTTGTGCCGAAACCACTTTCGCATCCTCCAGCTTGCTATATACTCGCATCCTATTTTCTCCCATCCCTTCCTCTGATGTAATAACCTTCCCATCATCATCCTTTCTGTATGGTAGGAACTTTCCATTTGAAAACCTCGGATGCTCTCCCCCTCCACACCTCAAAATCTTTTTTGCTGCTTGCCATGCCTGTCGATGGTCGCCCAGCAGTGTATTCGCCCCAATCTGCTCCGCATATCCACTCATCTTGTCATCTTTCTCCTTTTCCAATCGCCAATTTAGTATGTTGGAGGTGATCCGCATGAACGCCTCCATCTGGGATTTGAACTCAATGTTCGACCAGATCCCTTTGTTCAGGAACTGCACGCCCAAAACCAATTTTTCCGCCTCCCCATGCCATGGATCACCCTCCTGCGAAAGCAATCGGTATTGTTCTG